ATATATTTATAATGCTTCATTAATTAATTATAAAAATTAAATTTTATTTTAATAATATTATTACATAAATAATTTTAATTAATTAATTAAATTTAAATTAATATTTATATTTTTTATATAAATCAATTAAAAAAATATATAATAAATTTATTATTAACTTGCACCTTAGTTACATATTAAAAACCCCTCAGTAAAATACCATAAAAATAGTTTAATTAAAGGTATTTATAGTCCAGTCCATCTCAAAAACACAGATTTTTTTTGTCCCTTCTGCAATTTGTAATTTGTTGTGTATTCGGCGAAGACCCAACTTCGTTGGAAACTTTGGGCGGCATAGCCACTGATGCTCCGAACTCGCCACTAGCAAGATTTAACTAGACTTTTGATTGGTCTCTTAAGGCCAAAAAATGATGGGATGAAAGCAATAGAAGCTGCTGGGGTCTTTGTCCAAGAGAGTGGGATCAGTGATTCACTTTCAGTACAGCGTAGGACTTTCTTGTAGAAAGAGAGGAGATGCTGCAGAAATTGCAATACTAAGTCTTATTATCTTCCAAATCTCTGATATTGGTGGGGAGTTGTTTATGGGATTTTTGCAAGTGATCTAAAACAGGCGTCAAAAGAGGAATGAGTGATCATATTGTTTTTTATCTATTCCAACTTCTCTGTTTAGCTTACCATACTTATGAGAGCAATTTCTTGATTTCTCTTCAGTTCCATAAGCAATTTGGATCACTTCATTTCAATATTATTTTTCCTGCACTTCATTTCATTTTCAGTATTGGCCAATCGTTTGTTAAATGTCAAGCTATATCGTGGCTTATGAGAATTTTTGGATTCAAAGGGTAGACCAATAGATTCACATAAGATACTTCTTGTATTTGAAGCACAGCAGGAGTTCTTGCAGCCAAAATGCCAGGATGTTAGTACGTACGCTTATTTTAGTTAATTTTACATGTACACTCGTCACATCTTATTTTCACTTTCATCACTTCCTACTGAAACTTTGTGGGGCGTCTGTCTGTCCATTTATAATTTCAGTCTAAATTATTATTTTTTTTTTTTTTTTTTTTTGTGGTTGCAAACACCATGTGCTGAATATGAGTTTATTTTGATGTAAAATATTATGCTTGTATAGAATTCTTATGCCTTCATTGCCGGTTTATATTTCTTCTTCTGCTATCAAAATAACCTGGTTTGGCAGGATTAATGTTACTCACTTGAAATAGCTTAGAATTGTTTAGGGCATAAGCCACCAGGAAATCAACTTCCTAAAACTGAATTTTCAAGGAGCTAGCTATTGATGATTCAAAGTTGTCTAGTAGAGCTAAATTTCATCCCATGAGGTCCAGTAATCAAGTGCTTTCTTGATCTGTTCAGAGTTATAATTTAGAAATTTGATTTTAATCAAATACATGTTTCGATGGAGATTATGAAAAGCTTTTGTGAAGTTCTTGTAGGAGGCTGCATCTAAGCTTAGAATAAGGTATGGAACGGATTTCTGCCTATTGATTTTAATTCTTTAGTGTCGTTAACAAGCATAAATCTTCATGTTCTCCATACCTGGAAGACCGTAGTTTGTATAAGGGGTTTTCAGATGTGATTACTGTGTTGGCCCCTTTTCTGATATTTGTATCTCACACTGAAGAATGCCTGCTTAAATATCTTCATAATAACACCCTGACTTGTTTTTTTCATAGCTAGAAGAGGATAGTTACTACCGTATAAGGGGCTTTCAGTTGTGATTACTGTCTCAGCCCCTTGTCTGATATTTGTATCTCACACTGAAGAATGCTTGGTTAAATGCTTCATTATAACACCACGACTTGTTGTCTCATATTGTGAACTATTACAGTTATAAAACACAATCACATTATTTGTACTTCTTTCTGTTATTATGAGGTTTCATCCCAAGCTACAAGTTCTTTTACAATTTTTCTTGATTAAAGCCTAAATGCTGGTGTGTTTTTCTAAGAACGAAGGCACTCATCTTGTTCCTATTCTTTATACACATTGGTTCAAAATTTCCTCTTCTTCTCACGATTCCCTTCTTTTTGACACCATGTAGATCAGTGGTTATGGTTCCAGATCCAAATTAACCGCGATAGCTCTTATTTACCACAACGAAGCAGATCAAGTTCTGAGCTACCCTTTGGATTTCAACCCAGGTGAGTGGGGTTTGCCTCCTCCAATTGAGAATGGATAAACCTAAACCAGCACTATATATAAACACTGGCACTTAATTTTCCCCTTGTTCCAAACAGAACAAATATTGAATTCGATTGATTGAATGTTATGGATGCACATTTTACATTTATCTAATTATGGTATAGATGCATAATAATGAGGGACAAGTCAGGAAACTTCAATTTGGATTTTTATTTAATCACCAGGAACTGTAATGCAGTAGGTTGAGGGGAAGGGTCATGTGTAATTTAACACATTCACTCTTATCATAACTAGTCATTCAAATAGAAGAGTTAGGTAAAAAGGTTGTCTTCTTTCGTGCAACCCTCAAAATTTTTAAAGAAAATACTGTTTGTGCCTTGGGCCTAGGCTTTAACACTTGCACCATACGGTAGGCTTCTTAAGATAGTTAATGACAATGGTGCTAGCTGCCTATATATCAAGATGCAATGATAATTGAAATCCTCCTCCCAACTACATGGTAGTTACTGACTTAATGTTCCCTTTTCTAATGAGCCTAGCTAGCTTTTTGGGGTCTTTTTGATGCCACAACTGATTACTTATAAATTCCCTACTCTCTACCTACAGAGCTTAGTTAGTAATTAGTTCGATGACCCCAGCATTCCACACACACCTTCCTTTTAGTTGAACCTCTACATAAAAAATACCCAAATGATTAAATTTCAACCGTACTTAGTTAAGAAGATGTCACAGGAAAAACTGCCGCAAGGACTACAGCCAGGGAAATATATATCAAGTATGCAGCAGTATTTTTTTAGTACTGCCTGTACTCCGAGTAATAAGATTTTCTCAAAAATAAAGAAACTATAGCCCGGGCTAGCTTGCATTAATGCAGACCGGTTCATATCAGTTATCCCCTTCTGTCCTCTGTGTCCTTCATGTTCGATAAAATTATCCTTTCCACGACGCACACAAAGTTTTAGTATGTTGGCTGTTGCAGTACTTACAAGCTTTCATCAGTAGGAGCTAAGGGACATTCCTTGAACATGTATCAATATGATTTTTACAATAAAGTTTTGCACCCATGTGGCTATATATATATATATAAAGAAATAGTGTTTATTAGCCTCATCTCTTAAAGATTATGAGAAAAATCATTTTAAAATTATATCATTTTAATATAAATTTTTATTAAAAAAATTAAATTATCATATTTTTAAAACATATATTAAGATAATTTTTATCTTTTTTCCTCTTAATTTTTTATAAGTAAAGCGGCCCTTATATATATAATTGCTTGCTCTGTTGAAAGATGGAACTTCAAGTATGACTGGGAAATTTTGCTAATGTTACTGAAGTTTGTATCTATGACGTGGTATCATATATTCGCACCAGAGGTATCGTAATTAAATGAAAAATTGATACCTCAGAAATCTCTGTATGTCATATATATGTGTTAGTTGATACATTTAGTAGAATTTTTAACAGTTCAAGTACATAAGAGATTAATATCTCAACGGCAATAGTACATAAGAATTAATATTGATACCCTACCCTCGACATATGAACATCTCATTGTACCAAAGCTAAACATACATTTACTTTGTACCAAAAATGAGAAATGATGCATGAACTGTCAAATGAGAAGTCGTAAATTTGGGTAGTAGGTAAATTGTGAGTAAAAAATTGAGAGAAATGTTCTTAAAATTTCTGTTTCAACCAAAAGTTATCTATTTATTCATAAAAAGCTACTTTAAAAAAATTAATAATACTAATAAGGAGCCTAAAAAATTCAATATCAAGTCCTACATGTTTTGCTAGACATGGGTCTTTTTTTTTTTTTTTTTTCTTTTTTGTTACATGGAAATAAAAATGCAGTTAATTTAAGTTTATAAAACTAAGAGTAGAACTTAAACTTATTTCCTCTCTGTTTTTTCCAGATACAAATTAAGCACAGAAATCTGAAAAGAATATTACTAGGTCTAGGTATAAGCATGAGCAAATCCGCAAGAAAGAAGCCTTTTATTCATGCAAGGAAACAAAACGCATACAAATCCATCCAACTTAGTCACCTCTTTCTTTGTTTCCATTTTTTTTTTCTTCTTGCTCTATATTTAATTTCACAAAACTTCATTTCCTTGACTTCCACAATCCAGAAATAATGCCCAAATCCCAACCAACTATGCTTCTCCTCTTCCCTTCCTTGCGTTCCCCTTCACTGGTAGGATCCGGATTCTCTTGGCCACTCGTACAAAATCCCTATTTTCAATCAAACAAAAAAGAAAAAGAAAAAACCTAATTTAGTTATTAATAAAAAAAATAAAAAAATCCAATGCATTTGTAAATAATTAAAATTTTGAGTCTTATCAACTATTTAAAAAAATTCTTTGTTCTTCCAGAATTTATCATATTAAAAAAAAAAAAAAAATTGGAGACTTTGATTTGAACCTTATGACTAACATACGAATTTTGGAAATTGGGATGCCTCAAATTTTTTAACAATGGAACAGATGAGGAAAAATGTCAAAAAAAGCTTATAATATAAGAGAATAATTTTTTCAAATTTAAAGTTTTATATTGTACTTAAAAAAGTACAGTTTCGATTATAAAAGTGTTTAAAATATTATTATAAATGAGATATTTAAATATTTTTATAGTATCTACTACAGACAGACAAAAAAAATTGAGAATTTGATATAAATTTGAGGTTTCTCAGATTTAAACGTTGAAACGGAGGAGGAAAAATGAGAAATAAAAAAAAGAAAGAAAGAAAAAGAAGAAGTTGTTTTAAAATTATACGTACTTCCAATTAAGGTCACCGGCAAGGAGCAGATCGTTTTCCATGTCTTCATATGCAATTAGGTGACCGGGAATAGCGTTAGAAAGATCGAGATCGGTTTCCGAAATGCCTCCGTCGTCGTTGCTGTCCACGAACATCTGGCGGAGGGCCTTGGCCAGACTCTGGTAGCTACCATGCTTATGGAGACTGATGCGCTGGCAGATAGAACGGCCCTCCAGCACCACAGTCACTGGCGGCACCACGCTGGAGACAAGAAGGTCGTCCTCCATCAAGCCATGGAAACCCTGGGGCTTGTTATGGTTGGCTGAAGACGGTGCCGCACAGCCACCGCCACCACTGCCACTGGCAAATCTTGGACTGATGACGTTGTTGGGCAGTGGGAATGATCTTCTGTCTTGTTGCCGCGATCTCCTTGCCATCGAGTCTTGTCTCTGAGAATCAAAACTGTTCATGGTGTCTGTTTTCCTCTTTGATATATGAAGGGATGCAAGATTATTTATGGAGGGGGTGTGGTAGCACTTTAGGAAGAGAGATACAGCTAAGGAACTGAAAAGGGTTTGGTTTGTGGTGAAAGGGGGAGGGATTTATGTTAGAAATGAATGAGGAAAGTGAAAAGATGAGTTGGATGTGGGGTTGGGTGTTGAGTTTTTGACACAGTATTGAACGAGGGGATGGAGTTTTGTGTTTGTAGGTGTTAAATGGTTCTGATGTAAGGAAAAACAGAAATAAATGGGGGAGAGAGAGCACGAATGTCGGGGAAGGAGGGAGGTAGGTGTCTGAAACGAACCTAGCTTAACCCCTTCGTATTCTTTCCGTTCCCGTCTCTCAAAAACATATTTAATGGATTTAATATCTCTCTCTTGTTATCTGCGAATGTGAACAAAAAAAATTACTTAACATGAACAGGTTCTAAAATTGGTCCGTCTTTAAAAAGAACATGTACTCTTTAAAATAGATAGAATTTTTTTTCTTTATTTTTCCCTCATCCCTCTATTTCTTCGGGGTATTTAAAAAGAAAAAAAAAATGAAAGAAGAAAGATTACTAACAACAACAAAAAATGAGAAGGAAATTATATACTGAGTGGTGATACAATCTACAACTTCTGATTTGATATAAGAGCAACTAGAATATAGTAACAAGGATAATTGAAGAGAGACATTAAGCGGATGTTTGCTTCGGATCGACTGCAAAAGATGCTATATATGTACGATTACTTGGTTATAAAAATTAATTTAGGATTGATGTGCTTTTTATTAATATTTTTGTGTATCAATTAAGAATTTGATAGAAAACAAGTCATTCATCTTTGAAATTATAAAATTTCGAGTATAGTTAGGTGAAATATAGATTTTGAACCCTTATTTTCTTAAGGAAAAAATGATGAAATGATGATCATTAAAATCTACATGGAATGTGGGTCTAAAATTAAAAATAAATTAGCACGGTTTTTGACATGGATCTATAATTTTAATTGATGGAGGATAAACATATCGAATATTGGAACTAAAATTTGATCTTATTTAAAAACCATCTCAATTAGAGTAAAAGGGTATTTCAACCCATAACAAACAAATAAGAAAACTAATTTTATTTACAATAATATAAAGGGTATTTTAACTCATAATATACAAATTCATATTCAAAATGAATGAGGCGTCCTTGACAAAAGTAACTACTTTGCATTAGAAATTTAGAAGCCTAAATCAAATATCCTAAACCTAATGTTTTATAATTAGCGGATACAAACTTAAATAAGCTCTTTTTTAATCTCATATATGCAACCAATTTTATGATTTATGATATTAAATCTACTAATAAACTAGAAAAGCATCTCATCATGCAAATTCACATCATTAGAGATACAATTAATTAGGATACTATTATTAATTTTTTTAATTCTCTCTTAGGCTATGTTTGGTTGCTAAACAATCTGGGAAACCTTTTTCTTCTTGAGAAAGCTTGCCTCAGAGTTGTTTTTGATTTTCAAAAAATGAAAAAGAAAAAGAAAAAAAATCACCTTAAAGAGAAGTCCTTCTGAGAAAGTTGTGGCCCCTAAAGGTAAAATCCAAAATCAATGGAGCAGTTATCAGTTATCACATCAATAAGTTGCCATATTTCTTTTTACAGATGGCAGGTCAACCAAAAATGCCTTAAGCTAGCACTTTGCCCCTAATTTTGAAAATAAGAAATTGTCATAATTAATTATAAAAAAAATAAAAAAGGGTTTTCATGGGGATGATCATAAAATGCGTGTAGTGAAAGCAAGCTTCTGCTGATGGTTTTGGCCAGAGCCATCGCTATTAAATTATAGTATATAAAAAATAAATGTAACAAAACAAACTCAAGAAGAAAAAAGAATTAAGAAAAATCTTGTAAATTGCAACGCATGGGCTATGGAGACGACCGCGTTGCGGTCGCCGAACGCCTCGCTACTTCGACTATGGGACGGTCGGGAACTCCATGTCATTTTTCATTTTTATAATAGAGTTTTTTTTTTTTAAGAGAATAAGTTAAAAGTATATGATTATATTTATTATTATTAATATATATAATAATGAATAACATTAATTTTATCAATTATCTAATAAAAATATACACATGAAATAAATATTAAAATTAATATTTTTTTTTTATTTTTTTATATGAATTAATGCATAAAAACTCTATTTAACTCTCTTAACTTATACTTTTAAGAGCATGTGTTAAATAAACCATTTATAATAATGGAATCTATTTTATAGTTCAAATTGTATTATATTATAAAATAAATATTATTAAATAAGAAAAGAACTCTCAATATTAAGAGTCTAATTAACCTTTATATAATTATTAATATTATATAATATAATATAATTTAAATTATATAATATTTTTTTATAATAAAACATGGTTTTATATTTTTTATATTAGACTACACAATAAAGAAACAATAATGTCATTTAAATATTAAAATTACTAAAAGATCAATAATGAATTAGCATGAAAAAATCATTTCATTAACCATATTTTTATAAATTTATAATTCTGAAAGTGTGTATATATATAGTGCAGTCTAATTTAACAAATTATTTTTTAAAAAAATATGAAAGTAATAGTTTGTTTCTCACTACATAGTTTTGATATTACCTGAAAGACCACGTTTAGGAACCAAGTCATTTTGGTGCGATTGAAGGGTGGTAATGGTATATATATATATATATATATATATATGGTAATCTGGCTTCCTATTCCACATGGTTTGACACAAAACATGATAAAACATGGTACGCCAACGCCGGCCATAAAAGTTTGTGACATCTTGAGATTGGCTTCAGCCTAAAAAGTTTCCGGACCATGTGAAATGTAGATGAAAAAATGTTAACAATACTCTTCGTAAAATTCTTCTCTCGTTGATATTGAGTCACATCATACGTAATTTTAATTTCTGGGATTGGAGTAATAAAAAAATGATCAAAACAAGTTAACCAAAAAAGTGATACTGGCATTTCTTATACATTATATATTGAGCAAAATATGTTGTAGGTTCATAGTTTAATTGGAGTAATAAAAAAATGATCGAAACAAGTTAACCAAAAAAGTGGAACTAGCATTTCTTATTCATTATTGAGCAAAATATGTTGTAGGTTCATAGTTTAATTGGATTTATTCTTATTATTATTATTGTTATTATTTTTTTATTATTATTATGCCTTGCACTCTATGGACGAAAAAATGGTATTTAGAAGTTTTAGATGCCAACCGTCAAACAGCTTAGAATGGGATGGCAAGCTATTAGGCTGGTTCGAGTCAATTTAGAGCCAAAACTAGCTATCTTAATTTTTCAAGACCAAATTCACAATTGATTTGGTTTTTCATTAGGTGAAGTAATAAGTTAGACAACATAAAAGATTATTGAGTAGGAAAATTTCATATCTTTTTATATGATATATTAGAGTTTAGATTTCATTCTAAGAAATTTATTTAACTTTTTTTGTTTTGGTAGAAATTATTAACTTATTTAACAAGACTTGAAATTAATATCAAATTTGTATGTAAAAAAGTGTATGCAGTCATGTAATAAAAGTATAGGACTCAACATTTATAATGAATCTATACACTAGGGGATATATTGAGTAAAAAAAATATCATATCTTTTTACAAGGATAATAATAAAATTTTTTTTTTTTGTGTATACTCCTTTCTATTCATCTCATGAATCAAACTGAGAATATTTAATATAAAATCTTAAATTCTTAAACATTAAAATGCCCTAAAAAAAAACAGATTAGATGTGATTTTGAGCTAGTCCTAACATGCTTTTTTTTTTCTTTTCAAAGTAATACTTAATTGACTACAGCTAAAATTTGGAACCCCTCCTCCCTGCCCCATAGGTTCTTGGTCCTGTTGGACCACTAAAAAAAAAAAACAAAAGGGTCCTAACGATCTATCTAAGCTCCCACCGGTTTTGATTGAGCCCCATATTAGACCAAACCTACTCAAGCCTTGGTTTCGAATATGCCAACATGAATCGACCCCGAGTGGCCACGGTCCTGACTCCCAAGACCATTACATCCTAGTCTCAATTTGATTGGCCCGGTCCTAGGTTGGCCGTGTCCAATGAAACCTAAATCTCATTACCAATGCAACTTACAACCCAAAATTCATTGGGTTATTAACACCATGATGGTGGAAATGGGAAAGGGATACAGGACTGAGGCCTCAACCTTAAATGTCTGTTAAGCCATTTCTATGAGTTAATTAGGAACGTTGGAGTCAAGGAATGAAGATTCTAGAAAGTAGAAATTTCATAATGTGTTTGTCTGAAATTTGACTGACATAATATGGTGTGTAAATCATGCATGAAAATGCTGCTGTTATTAATGTTTTAAACATTCAACTAAAAACTTAAATGTTTAAGTAGAGTATTACATAGCCCTTTGCAGCTCAGTGGTCCTAAGATTTAATAAAGTTTAATTTCAGTATTATCATATAGTTTGTAGCTATCAATAATCTATTAATTTGAATGAAAAAATTTTAATTTTTCTTAAATAAAATTATGAATACAAATCTTATTTGAATAAATATACAAGTGTTATGAAAATTTTTTCTTATAAGATTCAACCCACTTTTAACTCTATATTAATTAAAATGTAATGTAACTTTCGGATATAAAAAAATTTTGTAAAAAAATTATGGCCCATAGCTTGACGCAATCTTTTGATTTTTTTGTCAACATATAGACTTCTAAAACAAAACGACTTTGCATTTGGCACGTATGAAGGGTTGGTATTAAAATCCACCTGTCCTACCGTACACGAAATTTGAAAATATATGTTTTAAATGTTTAAGAGTTTTAAAATTTAAAGTTGAACATCTTAAATTCAAAATAATTTAAAATTTTTAATTTAAAATTTCAAAATTTAATCATAAGTGAAAAGAGATTAAAAGAATATATGTTTTAAGTTTTTAAGAGTTTTGAAATTTTAAGTTGAATATCTTAAATTCAAAACTTAATGCAAGGGGAAAGAAATTAAAAGAATAAAAAAATAATTTAGTGATAATTTTTTATATTATTTTTTATATAACTTTACGTGTGTTTTTTAAATGATTGATTTTTTTTTATTTATTTAGAACCCGTAAGATTAAATGCATCTATTTATTTTATAATATGTGAAAATTATATAAAATGATAATACAAAAATATTGTCTCTATATCAAATTTTAAAAAAATGAAATGATTATCTTTTATTAATTGCATAAACTAATATTATATGATATACTTTCAAAAAATATAAAAAATGATGAGCTAAATATGTGCATAATTATAGATTGAAATCTGAAATTTAAAGGTTAATTTCAGCTCTCTCATGACATTACACAAAAATTTATCTCTTGAAGAATGAATTTCAAGGGATTAATTGCTGATTGGCTCCATCTCTGGAATGATGATTTTTTTTTTT